GGCCTTCGCATGCAGAATGGAGACACAAGCGTGGAGAAGGAAGTTGGGCTCCTTCTTGTTTGTTTGTTTTTTTCTTGTTAATCCTCACCCAAGGATATTTTTCCATTGATTATTTTTTTAGGGAGGGGGAGAGATAGAAACATTGATGTGAGAGAGACACATAAATTGGTTGCCTTCTCATAAGCACCCCAACTGTGGCCAGGAATTGAGCCTGCAACTGAGGTATGTGCCCGTGACCGGAATCGAACCTGGGACCCTTCAGTCCATGGGCTGATGATCTATCCACTGAGCAAAACTGGCCAGGTTTGTGCCCCTTCTTTAAAGAAGAGATCCACTGTGTCTTTCAGGAAACTGGGTCTTCTTTAGTGCAAACACATATGTTCACAACCTCTCTTTATTAACCTCATTCTCTTTAGCTCCATTTTTTAAAAATCCCCAAAAGGGTGCCATGTAGAAACTTTTATCTGCTACATTTTTTCCCCAAGATTGATCAAATGAAAAAAACCTTTTGATAATCTTGGAACACTGAAAAATCAAAATGCACAGTTTATTGAATCACCAAAATCAGATTTTTGTATTATACAACTATAAATAATATACATATATTTTTCATCAGATAAAGATAGATCTTGAGTATTTGAGGGGTGAAATAAGAGAGATGGCTAGAGATACTGAGGGAAATAAATACAAACATGGAGGAGTAAGATGGGCTTAAGGATTATCCTTGAATCTCGTGTGCTGATTGTCACGGGTGGTACTGGTCAGGCTAACCAAGCCCAAGGGAATGAAATTGTACACCACTGAATAGTTTGGTTTGCACACAGGACAATTCCTTCAATCTGGGATTTTGGCAACTGCAACATTCTCTTCAACAGCTAAATGCTATTTAGATGAAACCAACTCTTTGTTATTTGATTCTGCCCAAGTTTAAAGATTTTCTTGATTTCAACTGACTCCCTAGGGCATGTTAGAGATACACTAACTGAAAGTGCACTGTCATTGATTATCCTTTGCCAGAATTTGAGGAACATGCCCTGCAAAGAAAAAATAATAATGAATGCCTCCTGGCCTGAATTCTTTTCCTGGTCTGATTAACTTTCTGTAATTATGGGTAGTAATCATAGCTAATATAGTTAATAATAATAATATAAGCTCATCTTTCATACAACATGTTCTCTGTATCTTCCCTGCATCCACTTTGTTGCCATCATTCGGTGGTTTAAATGGACAATGCATATTACACACTGCACAGTGATTCCACTTCAGGAGGAACTATTAAATTGTTACTGGAACGGAGCTTGCCTGATCTCTAGAAAGAAAGCCCGATTCTCCTTTTGTAATACCGAGCATTGATGTCTGTTCTTCATTGTGCTGAGAGAAATGTCTCCAAAACCTTTAAAGAGAAACTGGGAAAGCCACACTAGATAAATAAGAATATTGAGACAGCTCGAACGGCTGAACCATTTGAGGCATCTGAGGCCTCAGGCACTCTTAGCTGACGGAGCCCTCTCTTCAGCTCTAGCACAAACCGGGCAGATCCCGACTTGTGAGCTGCCATTTCTGCGTGTGGAATGTGCCCTGGAGACTTGCTTATTTGACTTATGTGGGCCAACTGGATAGCTCATTCTTAAAACATACTCAGAAAAGGCGCCTGTTTATGCTGAAGGAGAATGGATACTAGAGGAGACTAGACGAGACTGGAACCTCCTAATTCTTTCACAGCCTCAAGCAGGGTCAGCCTGCCGGTATGCTCATCTGGAACACAAGGCAGAATCTCCAAATTCTCATTCAGCCAAATGATTTTTTTTCAATTAATTATAACCTTTTGTGAAGATGTGTCTTTTTCCCTCATGTCATTCTCTGTACAGAAAGCAACTAATTATTGGCAGCAATCTACTACCTTAGGATGCAGTGATCTTTCTTTTTTTGTCATAGTGTTTTTTTCCTGGAGGTGGTTGAAAGATGTTTGGTTGGTGACAGGGTAAGATGGCGGTATGGTTTATTATATGTCTTATTTCATTTTAGAGATATCAGTTAAGTAATAAAAATACCTTAGATGGAGGCAAAATAAAATAAAACACTTTTGTAAAATAGTCTTGGACAGGAATGTTTGTGAAGGATGTATTTTCCTTTGTCCTAAAGGAGTGCTCAGCCTTTTCTTCTGAGGGACAAGAGCTGCCCATGTAACTTTTCAGCTGAGTGTTGCAGTTCTCCTGAGCTCCTCAAGGGGGAGCGTTCACACAAGCTAACTGTACTGTACTCACCTCTCAGCTTGGATTTGGACTTTGAGTGGTATCTCCTTATCCATCCATTTCAGTCCTGGTAGGATTCTCCCCTTTGGTATGCAAGTCGTGCTGTTTTAATTGACACAAGGGAGGTGACAGGCAGCCAATTGCAATCTCTTAAAAAATCCTATCAAGTTGTATTTGGATGTAAATTCATCAGCTTCAATGTTAGGCGTCCCGCAGTATAGAAGGAGAGTAGTCAGTTTGGTCGGCATCCCCACTAGATGAAGAAAGCAAATGACATTTACTTTTAATTAGAGCATCTTTGTGGATAGGGTTATTCAAACCTACCATTTCATATTGCCACAGAAGCAGTACCAGTTTTTTATGATTAATATGAAAGGGATTACTCTTATCCTTGACTCAGGAAGAATTTCCCACCCCACTTCCAATCCCTGTCCCTTCAACACAAACCTGTTTCAGTGCAAGTACATATTTGTCTTTATTTTTAATGCCTGGATGTAAGTCCTACTCAGGCTCCATTTTCAAAAGTAAGAGGAAAGATAAATTAATAACTGTACTTAACCTTACTTGCAGTTGAAATTGGGCATAAAGAAGACATTTTTTTTAACAAACAATAAAAAGTTATTTCCCTTTGCTTTTTTTAAAGAAAAAAATCAGATATGGTACATTTCTACTGAAATGTGATTTTTGGCAGGTGATTATTTGCTCTAATTCAGCCTCCCCATTAGCCTCAGAGGTAATTTCCCTGGGGGAAAAGTTAGACAAAGAGAAGATGCAGAATAACACCTCTCTTTATGATTCTTGGAAATATAATGCCCTTTTATGAGAAATACAATCTTTTACAAGAAATGATTCTTCTGTTGTAACTACAGTGGGAGGATTCCTGTGGCATATAAATATTTGCAAACCTTTTATGTAAGCATGCTTTAACCAAACACCTGGTAAATGTTGCACAGTTTATTAATGACTTGCAAAACCTCCAAGTTGGGAAATACAGCTATGCTGTTGTGATCAGTCATTTGGCAGATAGTCAAGCCCGACAGCAACTGTTTAATACCTTTTTACCCATAAAGACTCTGAATCACCGAAAACATCTAAGATTTCAACAGATTTCCCTCCCACCCCCTGACCCTGTACCAAATTGCTCAATTATCTTCCATAAAGAGTTCTATTATTCTTTCAAAATTGAAGTAATAGAAAATGATAGTAAGCCATGTTATAAAATGTGTATTCTGTAGTTTCTACATGTCTAAGACCCTTTCAAAAGCAATGGTGCAGTCTTTGCTTTCCTACTATATTCAGCACCTGTGATGCACTTGAAACTGGACTACATGCTCTCGGGGTTGGGATGAAGGGTGGGAAGCAGTATGACACAAGGTGCCACCCTTCAGAGATCTTTAACTATAAATAGGGAGAAATGAAACACAAAACTAAGTTAGGTAGCATCTCACAGCAACAGACGGCTCATTATTAAGAAGTGGTTCAGAAAGGGAATTCTACAGGAATCAGAGGTAAAGCCATTGTGGGGTGGAAGGACCCAGGTTGGTTCTAGGGTTCCAGAATTTAAATGAGGCTATTAAGGATATGCAGGAATAGGAGAGGCAGAAAGAGGGTAAAGGTCATTCTGGAAGGAAAGGGCACCAAGGGGAAAAATGGCAGGTTGAATATTCCAAGTGTTTTAGGAACTGTGCAAAAAACTGTATAATTAGAAAGAAGGTGTTTTTATTAAGGAAGTACCTTGAAATAAAAACTCTCATTGCATTGATGATCTCTTACTACTAAAGGTACATAATATTACACATACACATCCTCCAGATGAGTGGCTTAAAATAATCAAAATTTAGCTCAAAACTTCCCAGCCTGGTGATTTAGGCCAGGGGAGTGGTCCTGATCTTGCCTCCTTGGCTCATTCACTGATCTGTGAGCCAGCTGGCTCTTCGTTTGTGTAGGGCAGACTTGACCAGGTTGACAAGAACAACTGGGACCTCTGCTCTGATGCTGCGTCTCTCACTTGCCAGCAGCCAGGCCCAGGAATACCTTCTCACAGCAGTGGTGCAGGTGCAGGAGAAGAGAACTTCTCTTACAAGCACCATTCAATCTTCTGCTTGTGTCACATTTGCCAACCTTCCATTTACCAAAACAAGTCACATGGCTGGATGGCTGGGTCCACAGCACCACCCCACCCTGAGTCTATCCTGTTCCAGTTATCTGCTGCTGCTTAGCAAAATACTCCAAAACCTAGTTGCTTAAAATGGCGATCATGTATTAAGTCTCACAGAGTTATGGGTCAAGAATTCAGGAAGGGCTTGGCTGAGCTATTCTTTTGATTCTAATGCCATTTGTGGTACTCAGCTGGTAGATGGACTGGGCTGGAAAGTCTGAGGCAGCTTCACTCACATGTCTGATGCCTTGGCTAGTAGTCTGGGCTCAGCTACCCAGACTGCCAAGAAGAGTGGCTGGACTCCACTCCAGCTTGGTGAGATCTTGGGGACCAAAATCCTTACAAGGCGGAGGCACTTCTTACAGACAGCCTCCCAAAAGGTCTAAGCAGAAAATGCATGACCTTCTTTGACTGAGCTTTGAAGTTCGTGCAGTAAGCTCTGATGTACTCTAGAAGTCAGAGCAGACACAAGCCCTCCCAAATTCCAGGAGGGGGACACAGATGTGTGAATTATACTCAATCCCTCAATAAGACCACTCACACAGAGACCCATCCTATCTACACTAATAAAAGAGAAAGATGCAAATTGACCGTACCTTTGCGGCACCCACCAGCCAATCAGGAGTGGGTATGCAAATTAACCCAACAAAGCTGGCAGGTTAATTTACATATGCAGGCGCTGAGCGGCCGGGGGCTGGGGCGGGACGCAGGCGTTCCGCATCACCCCAGCCGCTCCAGGCCTCTGGGCAGCGTGGGAAGGTGGAAAGGTGGCTCCTGCCAGAATGAAGGCAGTACAGACAGCCAGAGGAAGGAAGGCCCATTCTTGCACGAATCTTTGTGCATTGGGCCTCTAGTTATAATATAAGGCTCAGGCACAAGATCCGGGATCGTATCTAAACCAAGTGCAAAGGAAACTCCCACCTCAAGTGCTATTCCTTGGGTGTGGTTCCTTTTGATCTGAAGATCGATCAATGAAAGAGACTAGTTATGTGACTTCTAAAATGGTGGAAGAGGCATTGGTTAATCTCAATTGATGCAAGTCCATATTAGTTCTAAAATAAAGCCAGGGCCATACTCCCAGTTCTATGATCAGGGCCCATTACTTCTCCCTGGGAATGATGCTCTATGTTTCTTGGCTTCATCCTCTAGGTCAGTGGTCGGCAAACTCATTAGTCAACAGAGCCAAATATCAACAGTACAATGATTGAAATTTCTTTTGAGAGTCAAATTTTTTAAACTTAAACTATATAGGTAGGTACATTGTTATTAACTTAATTAGGGTACTCCTAAGGCTTAGGAAGAGCCACACTCAAGGGGCCAAAGAGCCGCATGTGGCTCGTGAGCCACAGTTTGCCAACCACGGCTCTAGGTAAAGGTCAGTACATGTTTTCTATAAGGGGTCAGAGAGTAAATACAGGGTGTTCCCCAAAAAAATGTATACACATTTTGAATGATTATAAAGTCAGTGTTTATGAACATAGAGTTCATTTTCAAATTTTAAAAGAACATACAGAAATAAATAAATTTTTTTAGTCAATGCCTGTTTTCAAACTGATGGCCATTCTAGTCCAGGCACTGCTGATAACAGAAAGTAATAGAATCACAAGCATCAAGAATCATTTGTTTCGGTATTTGGTTCAATTCATCAACAGTTGCCGGTTTTATATTGTAAATTTTATCTTTTATGTATCCCCATAAAAATAAAACTCTAGTGGCACTATAGGACAAATTTCCTTTGTTCAAAGCTTAGTCTGGCTTTACCCATTATTTCAAATCAGTTAAACCTGAAAAGGAGTCATAATTAAGTGAGTTATCAGCTGTTAAAGTGTGTATACATTTTTTGGGACACCCTATATTTAGTCTTTCTTTGCCACATATAGTCTGTTGAATTTTTTTTTTTAATCTTTACATAATGTAAAGACATTCTGAGCTCTGTGGGCATGTAAAATCAGGCCGCCGCCTAAATTTGGGTCATAGTAACTTCTGATACTACTCTTTGGGTCACTTTTTCTTTCCCATTTAAAGAGACCTGTATTGGCAGAATACAGCTAGAGTCAAAATGGTCAAGTAACAAAAAGAGAGCTTTGTACTCTCAAAATTCTATGAACCAAAAACAAGCTGAGACAACTACTAGAAACCTTATTGGAATTCACTCTATTAGACAAGACTCACATGCATTTCAGTCTTTGAAACATGGCCTTCCCTATCATAAGTCCCCCATGAGACTGCTGTGGGACAATACTCTTAAGATTTTTTTAGAAGATCTGTTGTTTAACAAAGAAAGTCTGTAAGGCACACTCTTAAGATCCTTCTGATGCTTGCTTTTTGTTTTGTTTTACTAAAACGGTCTATGAGAAGGCACCTCAAATCTTCTAAGGTGTTAAAAAGTGGCTTTATATTGGGATCATATTGGTTATGAGACCACACCTTCCTCACAACAACCTAGGTTTGATCTTTGCCCTTATATCCTTTCTTACTTTCTTACTTTGATGATGTTCTACTAAGAGACTTTGGAGTTGAGAAATAGTTTTATTTTTGAAGTAAGCAAGTCTGACTCCTTTATATTTTCTCTAAAATCTGCTTGAAAAAGCATATTTCCATTTTTAGCTCATCTCCTTTATCTGTAACTTATAAAGCAGTTAAAAGAAACCAAGTGAAATTTCTGGTATTGTGCTATTGTGCGGGAAATTTTCTTAGCCGGGTTTTTCAATTTGTTAGTACATTTTTGGTTTTACAAAATACTACAAGGGTTGTGTTTTCTAAAATTTCTAACACTGTGTAGGAGGGATCTTTTTTCCTCCAACTTCCAACAGTATTGTCTTCACTTTCTGCTAACCTCACTGAAAGACTCCTCAAGGTCTCTCTATCTTTTGCCCACCACCTATTCTCAAAGTTAATAAAAATAGTTTTTTGTTATATTAGCTCCTTACTTCGGATAACAAGTTTTATTACAGTTATCTATTTCTGAATCTTATTATCATATATCAGAGATTTTATGTTTCAGGAATTTGGGCAAGGTTCTGTGGGCACTTCGGATAACAAGTTTTATTACAGTTATCTATTTCTGTATAGCAAAGAAGCCCCAAATTTTGTGGCCTTAAGAAAAACGAGTCCTATTATCATATATCAGAGATTTTATGTTTTAGGAATTTGGGCAAGGTTCTGTGGGCGATTCTTCTGTACCTTGTAATGTTAATTGAGCTCATTCACTGGTATTCACCTGGCAGATAGACTGGTCTAGAAGGTCCAAAATGGCATCACTTACAAGTATGGCTCAGAAAATTTGTCTCAGCCAGAACCATTCACTTACATGTGTCCTCTCCACCATGGTTGTCTTAGGGTAATTGAACTTTTTACATGACAGGTACTTTTGTCCATAGAATAGCAAGCATCCCAAGTGCCAAAAAAAATGATGAGTGGCTTTTATTGACAACAAACTCTAGGGGAAGGGACATAGTCTCTACCTCTCAATGAAAGGAGTGTTAAAATATTCAAGTTCATATTTTAAAACTACCACATAGACTGTTCATGCAGGTAATATTCCATATGAGACATTTTTCATAGCACCGGTGGAAATATTTGGACTTGGACTTGACTTTGTATTTAGTCAGACTTAACACCACTCTCTCTCTTTTAACCTTCATTTCCCATACTAGTTTCATTCATTTTGAATTTTTGGGTCACACACTCCAATGTAAAACACTTTTGAACATGTATGCCCAATATGTGTAAATACTCTTGTATTTATACTTCATAAATAAATAACCTAATGATTATGCTCATTATAAAATAAAAAATAAAGATGAACATGATAAAAACAAATTATTCTTAAATATCTTGCTAATCAAGACAAAAAGAAATATTTAAGTTAACAATAGTAATATATATTTAAATTAGTCCTTTTTAATAATTGTTAATTTAGAGGCCATTCTCTTGTCAAAATAGTATATTATTGTTGTTTTTACCTCATGGTGCAGCTAAGTAAATGTTTTTTATTCGAGTAAAAATTGCCAGTTTCACAATTTTATTGGTTTTTAGGAACTGTTTAATTTTCTTGTCTATTTTGTGTAAGTCCATTTAAATCTATTTAACCAGACACTTATCAATAGTGTGTGCCCCAGGACATTGATCAGAAACGAGTGAGTGTGGGCAACACTGCTATCCATCAAGCCTGTGGAATTCTCACTTTTCTCTTGGGAATACTTTAGGCACCCCATGAACTTTCAACTAATGGATTCTTATTTTTTTTTAAATATATTTTATTGATTTTTTACAGAGAGGAAGGGAGAGAGATAGAGAGTTAGAAACATCGATGAGAGAGAAACATCGATCAGCTGCCTCCTGCACATCTCCTACTGGGGATGTGCCCGCAACCCAGGTACATGCCCTTGACCGGAATCAAACCTGGGACCTTTTAGTCCGCAGGCCGACGCTCTATCCACTGAGCCAAACCGGTTTCGGCGGATTCTTATTTTTTTTATATTAAGAAAGTAAATGTAAATATATAGTCTAAGATTTTCTTATCACACCGTCATGAGTCGTCTGGCACACCTGTAGGGTACGAACACACTATAATAAAAGCAATTGATATAATGGACATTCAATAAGTATATGTTGCATTACCAGTAATTTTTTAAAAGTTTGACACAAAAATAAGTAGGCACTAGATATTTGTTTAATGAAGAATGAAATTGCTGTATCTATAACCAAAAAAAAATTGCAGAAATCTCCATCATTCTCAACAACTCATCTTGTCAATGATCTAGTCAAAACATTGTGGAAAATTAGAACATATTTTTCTATGAAATACATTTCTACTGCAGGCTAATTTGAAAAATTAACCTTTTTTATCAGCGAAGATTAACAATTTTCCTCCCCTGCACACCCTTCCCATTTGTAATGTCACCTTGATGTTTTGGATTTTACATTTCATAACAGCCTCTTAAGTCATTTAATTTCCTTCAACAATTAGCTGAGCTGAGTTTGCAGTATTAATCTATTTTCTGTTCTTTTTAATGGGAGAACTAAAGCATACAGTGTTGAAAATTGTCACTTAAGGCCACATAGAGCATCAGTGACCATGCTGGGGGTAAATTTAAACTTTTTTACTCAGAGGCTTTACCTGTGTTCCTTGAAGCCTCTATGGCCATTTGATCTTAGCTTGAAATAAAATAATTCTTGATGATTAAGTAAGTAGACTTTCTAAACAGCAAATAATGGAGCTTTCAAAACTAAAAGCAGTTAGCACAGCAAATTCACTGAGAATGATATTTTGTCGAACAGAAAAACAGCCTGTTAAGTTGGAAAAACCAAAATACCAGACTACTTTGATTCTTCCAGACTCCTTTTTAGGAAGGTGTAAGATAGAAACTTATCTACATTCACCCCAAAGCAATCTGTTAGTTGGTGTTAGAGCAGAAATTGAGAGAGTTCTCTTCTGCCAACCCAGGTTTGTCTGCAAAGCAGAACACTTCTAAGTGATGTTGGGTAGTGGTTGGATAAGGAGAGTGGGATAAAGAGGAATTTGAAATCGCAGCAGCACAGAAGCGAGAAGAGATTCCCAGAAAGAGAACTCTTTGGAAGATCCGAGAGTCCAGGTGAGGATGGAGACCATAACTTAGCTTATAGTGGCAGTAGTCCACACCCGGCTGCAACTTCTCTTCAGTAATGTGTAAGTTGGCACACATGAGAAGGCAGATGGTCGGTGTTATCTGTGACAGTTTGGTAGTCTTTTGCACATAAGCATAAGGGACACTAAATTTGAAGATTTGTCAAAGGGGTCTGCTATGCAATTAAGTACAGGATTGGAGTGAGAAAGTGAGCTCATGTGAAATTCATAGACATGGGGACAAGGGAGGTATAGGCACTTGAGTGTGCATAAGTTTAAAGCTGGAGTATGAGAACTACTGGGGAGAGAGGAGGTTGGTGATGAAGTTTAAACTTTAAGAGCTCAGATAATTCACAGCGATGACAAAGTCTAGAGCAGTGATCTAGAATCTATGACACGCATGTCAGAGGTGACATGTGAACTCATTTTTTGGGTTGATTTTTCTTTGTTAAATGGCATTTAATATATAAAATAAATATCAAAAATATAAGTCTTTGTTTTACTGTGGTTGCAAATATCAAAAAATTTCTGTATGTGACACGGCACCAGAGTTAAGTTAGGGTTTTTCAAAATGCTGACACGCCGAGCTCAAAAGGTTCGCCATCACTGGTCTAGAGTGTTGCTATGAGGGTGAGTGAGTGGAGTAGTGTAATAGTAGAGTAATTGATTAATTTGTATAGTAGAGAGTAGGATTTGCAGTTAAAATGAGTCCAGGATCCAGGTTCCGTATTCCTCAAGGGATGTGGGTGAATGACTGAGAAGATTTAGATAAGGGCAAGAGAGGTAAAGATGTAATTGGAGGATGGCATGAACATCAAAGGCAAAGGGTGTCTATTATGAGAAGAGCAATAATCTAGAACAGTGGTTCTCAACCTTCCTAATGCCGTGACCCTTTAATACAGTTCCTCATGTTGTGGTGAACCCCAATTTCATTGTTACAAATTGAACATAATTAAAGCATAGTGATTAATCACAAAAACAATATGTAATTATATATGTGTTTTCAGATGGTCTTAGGTGACCCCTGTGAAAGGGTCGTTCGACCCTCAAAAGGTCGAGAGCCACAGGTTGAGAACCGCTGATCTAGAAGCAGCAATAGAAAACTGTTTCCATCAGTCACTCTAGACCTCTTCACTCTCTCTCCCACCAGTGACATTTGTCAAGGAGGCAAGGAGGGGACATTCCTTTTTGGTTATTTTTAAAAGAAAAAAAATTTAAATAAATTTAAAATTTTTATCCATGCATTGTCCTTCCTAGTTTAATGAATGCAAAATAGTTTCCCCTCTGAGTTTTTCATTTTGTGATTTCTTTCTTTTAAGAATGCATAATGTTTATTTTTACGTAATTGTCTCATAAGAAATTTTGGACCCAGCTCACTTCAGGGAAGGCCTTGTGTGTTTTTCCTCTTTAAGTCTCTTCTTCTGGTCAGAGAGAAATGGTTAAACCTGCTTGAGTCCAGCTTATGTAATCTAGTTAAACCTACATGATCTGGCCTCCTGAAGTTATTGAACCTTGTTGTATTTATTCATGGAAAATATTTTTTGTGACTGATCATAGAATGCCAAAAGAAAGTCAGCAAGATTTTTTTGCTATCTTTTTACACATGTGCTTTCCATCAATTGTTAATATTTATTAACAGGAAATATTTTCTTTATCTAGACTTTCTTTATAGTCTGTGTCCATGATGGCTAAGAAGGAACATAATAAAATCTGTTAAGTCATTGATGGCAAGGACCAAAAGACTTATTTTCCAGATTTTCAAGTTCTAGGACAAAGAAGTTTATCTTTCTTTCTCTCTTCCTTCCACTCTTCCTCCCTCCCTTCCTAACTTCCTTTCTTTTTTCATTCTAATAGAGTCCTTTGTGCCATATCCCAGCTGATTATCTTCAGAGTGAATCACCATTCTGACTTCTACCACCATATGTTAGATTTATTTACTTTTTTAAAGAATTCCTTTATGCTTGGCTTTTTCCTCTCAAGATTTTCTCCTTGAGATTCATCCATATTGTCAAATATAACTGTGGTCTGTGGTTTTTCATTGTTGAATAATACTTCATTGGATGAAGTATTCATCATCTTTAATATTCCCTTGTTGAGGAACTTTGGATGATTTCTAGTTTGGGGCTAGTTTAAGTAAAGCTGCTAAGCATGTTCTTGTACATGTCTTATGATGGAAAGAAACACTCATTTCCATACCCAAGAATGCAATTGCTGGGCCCTTTGTATGTTTAGCTTAATAGATACTCTAAAGTTTCAAAAGTGATTATTCCAGTTTACACTTTGACCAGCAGTTCATGATAATTCAAGTTCTTCCGCATCCTTGTCAACACTTGGTATTATCAGTGTATATAATTTTGGCCATTGTAGGAGAGTTGTAAGAACAGTTCATTCTTGAACTAAATTAAGACAATTTTAATATATAACAAAGGAAGTATAGGTTCAGGCAGAGGGTCATTAATCTTACAGAACTTATTGGAGTGCCACAAGTAGAAAATAGTAAGGCACTTGAGCTGACGTTTCTCTAACTGTAACCATGATATCACCTGCCTCAGCCTCATGCAGGGTGCTTATAAGTGTACATCATCCCAACCTCACCCCAAATCTACCAAGTCATAATTCCTGTTTCTGAATTCTGCATTACATACCAAACTCCCTTGGTAATTCTTATAGACATTAAAGTTTGTATGTACATACTATGTACATATTTAAATGACAGAAAGTTCAAATGGCAACTAAGAACCATTGGATTAAACTCTGTTTACTGTATTTCCAGGCTAACAATTGAGGTACTCTGAAATCAGGAAGGCCTCAAAATACCTCAGCCATCCTCAGTACCATTGGGAATTCCAGAAGGAAAAGAAAGAGAAAATGAGGCCAAGAAAATATTTGCATTTTCTTTGGGAAGCCAAGAATTTTTCAAAATTAGTGCAGTCACCAAACCACAGATCCAAGAAGGCGTTGAGAACACCAAGTAGTATTGATACCAAAAACCAGTCAGTCAAACGAACAAAACACATCACACCAAGCTTATCATATTGCTGAAGAACAAATGCAGTATATTGTCTTTGTTCCAAAGGCCTGGCAACATTTTTGTCATCAATCACCAATGGCCTTGTAAATTCAAGTTACAGGTTCTTCCTTGTAAGAGGATGGCACTGCTGTTCATGTCCCTCACCAGAGCTTCCCCTCCCTCTGATTTATTTCTTAGGTGCACTTTTTTTTATTAGAACAAATTTTTCCTTTATTTTTTGTTAATTCTCACCATTGATTTTTTTTTTTTTAGAGAGTGGAAGGGAGGGTGAGAGACACAGAGAGAGAAACATTGGTGTGAGAGAGACACATCCATTGGTTGCCTCCTGCATGTGCCCCAACCGGGGATGAGGACCAAACCTACCACCAAGATACGTGCCCTTGACCGGAATCAACCCCACAACCCTTCAGTCCATGGGCCAGTGCTCTAACCACTGAGCACCCAGCCATGGCTGGTGCACTTTATTGTATTATATCATGATAAGCCTGTCAGATGCCAGCCAGTAAATTTGATCTGTTATGGTCAATATCCTCATGGCAACATTATGATATAACTAGTACTATTATTATACTTTCTTTTTCTTAACATATGTAGAAACTGAGGATACAGGAATTTAAAACAAGTAAGCGAAACAGCTAGAATTTACACTCGGCAATCTGACTCCAGAATGTCTTTTTTCCACATTTTTATTGAGGTATAATTGGCAAATAAAAATGGTATATATTTAAGTTGTATGAGGAGGCTTTG